GATAATGATATTATGTTTGACTGTGTTTCCCTTGGTCACAATCTGTCATCCGCACTCCGACTCTTCTCCTCCAGTTGCCTCTCCGCTTCTTTGAGCTGGTGCATCTGCGACTTGGCGCGTTCCTTGTCCTGGCGGAAGCGAAGTAACTCGACGAGCTCGGCAACGCGAGCTCGGCGGTTTCGCTTCTTCGGACCCTTCCAACGAGCAAAGAAAGAGGTTCATGTCAGTTAACACAGTTCAACAAGCAACAATAGAAACCTATCTTGACCTATCTCATACCCTTGAGGGGGTTTCATGAAACGTTTTATGGGAAGACCCAACTCCCCCCCTTTTATAGAGGATATGGGGTTGGGTATCCTATATCTCTTATCAACATGGGGATGGGTCCTTCAACCTGGAGCACCCCACCACGGGATGCGAACGGCCGACACCGCCCGTGTCCCGCTGGCGCACACCTTGGTCAGCTGCGTCGTCAAAGCGCTGGCGAGCTCCTCGTCACCCGGAGGTCCGGAGTTCTACGCGCTGACAGGCACTTCTGCTCGGGGCCCGACAAGCAAGAACCCCGCGGGGACAGGCACTCGTCGGTCAGGGGTCACTTCTTCAGTGTCTCTTTCTTCGGTTTGAAGGCAGACTCACCAGACCCACTCGACTCGCGTCGTGCGGATGCCACTGGTCGTTCGGCCCGTTTAGTGGAAGGCGGCCTGCCATGTAAGGCCGGCCACCCCAACCGCTTCAGTCCTCGAGGGTGGCGTCTTCCAAGGCCTAACAGTAAAAATCCACTTGAAGGGTTCGACTCACGGGCTTTCTGCCACAAATGTGACCTAACAAAACCAATCACAGAACCAAAGATCTGAAACCTCTGTCCTCTTTTCTGACGTGATCTCCATGTAAGGTACATACAATCTTTGGTGGACCGCCAACCAGGTACATATAATCTGAGTGCCCAGTTTGTGCGGAAGGACGTCATCCCTTTGACCTGACTTCATCCACGTCCTGTCCATTGGTCTGCCAAGTGGCTCGAAGGCTATTGGAGGTGCCCATCCTGACAGGGGCGTCGTAGCCGGCGCTTGGGCGGGCACAAGCAGCCAACCACCCACCACCCGGAACCCGCTTGTAGCTCGTCTGCGATGCATCTGGCAGCCCGGAACCGCCTCAACCAACTAAAGGCATCAGCCCGGAACCACCTCAAGAAAGCACTCCTTCTAATCCCTCTCCACCATCCATTGGCTAAAGGTGCGGGTTTTCTTTTCTCCCAGGAACACCAGTGTGGTAGACCTGCTGCAAGTCATCGTCAACACAAAGATCCCTAAAAGAAACTCCAAGTCATCGGATCGCCATGGAAGCTTCGCCCTGAGACTCCGGGCCGTGCTTCGCCTGGCGCCAGGCGACGCTGTGGGGACAGGATGAAGCTGTGGGGCTTCAACTGGGGCAGTTTGCCAATTGCTCCAGTTTTGTTGGTTGCAGTTGAACTCCACCAAATCTTGGATCCACTTGAACAGGATGGTTTGGACATGCCGACTGCTCCAGCAAACTACTGTCGACTGGTCCAGAGTTTGTTTCAAAAAACAGCTCGGGTGGTGCCTTTTTGGTGCCTTTTTTGAGGCAGGTGTTGGGTTCCCCAAATGGGCGACCCGGGTATTTTTGTAGCTATCGGAGAGCGATAGCCGCGATAGCTATTGATTGGTACTGATGTTCTGATTGTTTGGTTCATCAAATGAACAGCAACCAGGCTGTCAGCCTCGCATCGTGGAGGATTCATTGCAAGTTCAGCAGCCCTTCTCACACACGACACTGGTGCACCAGCAGCAGCAAATCAACCGGGCCCCCATGGATTGATTTCAGGATAAGCTCATCAAAAAATATGCCAACCAATCCTCTCACAAATCCATCGCCTCTCTCTCTTTCTCTTCCCCTGGCACGGAGGTGAGGTCGCCTCCCACTTGCGTCATCAGCTCTTCTTCGACCAAGGGTGGCTGTTGGTTGACCCGCCCCTGCTGTGCCTTGGTTGAGCCAAGAGCATCTAAGACTTTTTGTGTGATTGGTCTGGATTATTCAAAGCACATGTTTTCCAGTCGGATCTGAAGCATCCTCCCACATTCCCCCTCATGTCTGGCCCCTGCTGGTCCGAGTCGTACCATCTCGATCGATCAACTGAGACACCTGATGGTACCCCTCCATCGCTGGAAAGGCTGCTGGCAGGGCCGACTGCAAGCTCTGCATGGCAACTCATCCACCAAATCCCCACGTTGCAAACCTATGACTACTGACTTGTTGTCATTTAGGTCTGAGTCAGGGGGATAAACTGTTCTGACTGACTATTTTTCTGGTAGCTTGCTCTGGAAGGAATCGGATGACTTGGGAGCAGCTTCGAAAGCTACCGCAGCTCAGAGGCTGGGCAAACGGTGTTTTTCCGGCAGCTCTGATGTTTGAAAGAAACGTCAGGTGGAGAATCCATCCCGCTCTTGGAAGTCTTTAGCATCGAGGAAGAGCAATGCACCTCATTTTAAAGATGTGGCATTTGAAAGAAGTCGCGGCAGCAGAAAAAGAATGTGTTCTTTGCAAGAATCTGAGCCAGGTCCCTTGAAAGCAAATGCTTGAGCCTTCAGACACAGGCATTCTGCATCCTGCATGCATCATGAGCTGGATGGGTAAAGGCATATGGGTCACATAGATGAACCATGGATGAAACCCAAAACTTGCACACCCCCTGGAACCAGGTCTGTGATCACCAGCGCAGCCTCAGTGAACCACCCCCTGGAACTCCAATTTTTTGACCCATTGAGTCAACACGGAGGCGCTGAGTCAACATGCATGGAACAGAGCGTGAGTTTGTGGCCTCCCAAAGCAACTCAGGTCAAGAGACCAAAGAGACCCAAAGCAACTGATGGTTCCAGCGGACCGCCCTTAGCCCATCAGCTTGACAGCTCCGTTCGTAGCGATGCCGCTCCGATCGCATCATTCCCTTCAGAGACCCTCCCAGTGCAGGAAGTTTTTTTCCGAAAGTGAAGCCCCACACTGTGTGGTGGGCCCTCCTCGTTAGCGGTGGCGGTGGCGGCGTCGACTACTCCGCCACTGCAGCGGTTTGGGCGTGACGACGGTGGTTAATTGGGTGATGGCTCGATTTTTGTGTTTCATTATTTGGGGTGGCTACCTGCTCCGCTTACAATCATTGAAATCGTGTTTTCTTTTTAATGTCCGTTTAGATTTCCTTTTACATTCCTTTTCAATATCCTGTTGTTTAAGTCTATACTTTGATTTGGAATTCAATTTAGATTTCAATAAAATTTGGATTTCCCTTGCGGTTTGAATTTGTCATTTGCGTCCTTCTAAAATCCCTTTTGAACTAAATAGTTATATAGCATTTAAGTCTATCACGCGTTCTTTGAGTTCCTTTTCAAGTTCTTTTAAAATTCATTTGTCCTTGTCAATTTATCCTGTCAAATTCCACCTGAAATGTCCACAGGCCAACAACTAAGAAGACCAGCTGGGATGGCGCCTCACTTGCGCACATAAGAATCGCCTCACCTTCGCACACAGCCTTTTTTAATACATTAAACTCACCTGCGCACACAGGTTTCGCTCAGCTGCGCACACATCGATTACATTCTTCTTTAAACAGTGCATGTTACCTCAAATTCATCTGCGCACACAGACTTCGCTCACCTGCGCACACACAAATTGAGTCATGATGATCTCATTTTGCTCATTGCTTCCACAGTACCACGTCACACAAATGCTCTGCGTTTAATTGATGATGTTGGGTTGGGATGGGGGGGTGGGGGGGTGTTAATAACGTCCCTCTTCATTCAGTTCAGTTCAGCTTAGTTTCGTTCATTTCATTTCGTTTCAGTTCATTTCATTTCATTCATTTGCTCATTCATGTATTTTTCACATATTCCTTCAGTCCATCATTCATCCACTCATTCATGCATTCATTCATTCATTCATTCATTCAGCCGAGCAAGCGGCGTGCACAGCCGAGGAGCGCGTGCACAGCCGAGTAAATCTATGCGCGTGTACAGGCGAGGCAAATTCCGCGTGCACAGCCGAGGCTCCGCCCCGCTCCAAGCCACCCAGAATGCGTCCAAAACAAAAGGGAAAAAACGCCAAAGCCAGCGAAAGCCATCCAAAGCCAAGAAGCCATCCAAAGACAAAAGCCAGAAGCCAAGAAAGCACCAAAAGCTGAAAGTCACCCAAACGCCAGGATCAGAAGCCAAAAGGCCAGCCAAAGCCAAAAGCCAAGAAAGCGATTGGAAGGGCCCACCCCTTCTGGAAAACCCCAGCTCGGGCGGGCCTTCTTGACAAATCGTGCTGCTCGGTGGGGGGGGCCGGGGGCACCTGTTCCACTCAGCGAACGTTCAACCGTGGCATTGTCGGTGAGTTGGTCTCGTCGTGCACGGTTTTCGGTGCGTGGGCCAAGCAGGACTGGTGGAACGAGCGGGAAAGGAGCTCGGTGGCACAGATCGAGCTTGCTCGAGGGAGTTTTGGGCCTTATGAGTTCAGAATCACCACACGCTCGTCACGACCGCCATGCCACACTCCTTTGGAGTTGCATGAGAGATCTGAGGGTTGATCTTGCAGCTGTGTGGGCAATCACAGCCCGAATCCGACCAAACATCTTGCAGCTGTGGGTGATTCCCAGGACTGAGTCTCAACCCCCATCTAATCAATTCGGGTCCGGGCAGACCTGCTTTTATTCCATGTTCGGCCACACATCTCCCGTAGATAGATCGTTCCAAAACAGATCTATATAAGTCTTGCTGAAGCTACTTACCCTACCACCCTACCACAAACGAATGCTCACGACTGACGCCGCAATGCATCTTCAGGTCTCGGAGCCGCACTGCCAGACCAGGGGCGGGAAACACCCTCCCAAAAAGGGTCTGACAGGGAACGCCCCCGCCAGGGGGACTGTGGACGGTACGGCTCGGCGTGTAGCATGTGGGTTCAAGCTCTCTGACGGAATTCCGGAGAAGCTGAGGGAACAAGTTCGAGGAATTCACGAACCATTTCGGAGAACTCTTAACCCTAACTGAGGGAAGAAACTCGAGAAACTCAGTCGTGTGGGGAACTGAGGGACACCCCAGAACTCCACTCAGACACCTCGCCATCGACGAACCATTCTGACGGACATCGCCATCACCGTCACGGATTTTTCCAGAGGATCGCCAGAGCCTCCAAGCAAAAAAAGAGAGTGTGTTGTTCTCCGCTTTTTTGCGAAAAGCTTCACTTTTGGCAAGCTCGGTTGGTGGAAGGAATCTGAAAAGCCACCCAAGTGGTTGTTGGTCCTTTCCAGCTGCCTTTACTGCTGCTGTATGCTAGGAGAAAGCTCCATGAACAGTACGCGTGGATCGAAGCCCAAGCTGGTTTGCAGAAGAAGGACAGTTCGAGCACACTCAAACCCCTTGACCAGCTAGGGTCGTTCAACCTGGACCCCTGGTCCGTCCACAGCGAACCACCTTCCAGATAGGTCGTGGTGTCGGTCTTGTGCCAGCTCCCCCCAGCCACATCAATGCCAAGTCTGCTTCTAGATCTTCCAGTATGAGTATTCTCATCAATACCATCAATTGCTCTTGTTCCTTTTGCTTCAAGGCCCACCGGGCTTCTCCCCCACGTGGATCTGCCCGCCGCCTTGGATCGGGGCCGCCGTCACCTGGGACCCGGTGCAGACGACCAGAAGACCGCCCTGACCTTGATGGACCTTCGAAAATCCTTTTGATGTAAGGATACAAGCTCCGAAGATGCTAAATCAATGCAGAACACCTACCAATTCCCAAATATTCTAAGCTGGTAACGGTATGGTGTCAATTGTACAGTAAAGGGTTTGCGGCTTCAATGCACGCCTGTTTCTTTTGATGATGCATTTGACTTGGGATGCTCGCCATGATAAGGAAGCTTTCAAACAGTTCTAGTAGGACTACGTGACCACCGTATCTTGTTGAGCCAACGGAAGCCTCATCACATGCAACTCTAGTGATTCTAGTGGAGTGTTGTTCTTGGATGTGTTTCGTCTAAAATATCTGCAAACCCCACCTGTAACACAAATTCCACATCGTCAGAGCAATTCCACAAAAATGATTTAATGTCCATTTACGTCGGATCGGTCGATGTCTGAGTATCAGAGGCCAATCAATGTCTGAGTTCGCTCTCCGATTGCTCTGGGCGAGTCGAAAAACATATGGGACCTATCGATGAAGCCTCTTCACCGCTGAGTCCTCCTGCTCGCCGTCCAAATCCTGGGCTGCTCGTGCTCGGTGCTCGCAGGATGCCGCGTGGTCGGTGGATGTGAACGTCTTCCACACCGCTTTCGAACCGATGGAAAAAAGACGCCTTCCAAAACGCTGGCAGCTCTGCTTCATCCATCACTGAAGAAACAAAGGGAAACCCTTCGGTGCCTTGCCACACTTGAAGCAATACAGAGCACCCTCCGGCATTTTGGCGCCACAGCTCCAACCTGACAGGTTCCACAGGACAACAAGAGAAGGTGTTTTGTCCCCCTTCCTTGTGTCAGGTCCAGGGAGCTGAGGTGTGGGTGACCAAACACGTGTTCTCTTCTAGAAAGAAAAAACAGATGAAGTCCAAAAACCTGAGTCCGTGTCACATCCTCTGGAAGTCGCTCTTCGCTCTTCTAACTTCTAACCCATTAAGCTCGAAGCATGCGGCTCGGACGGTATAGATCCTCTTGAGCTGATCCTCACCGGAAAGGGGGCGTACAGTACCAACCGCCAGGCCTAACGATGTCGTGAAGACCAAGAAAGAACACATGGCAGATCCACGTTTTGAAACTGATGTCAGTATGGAATAGTATGGAAGTGTGCTTAGGGCTCAGGGCTGTTCCACTGCCGTGGCAAGCGGATACGAGCGGCTGTTCTACCTGTGCTGCTGCATACATTTAATTCTAATAGCTTCTTGTTGCTACTAGTAAGGCACCTGTTACTACTAGCGTGGCACTTGTTACTAGAAGCGAACATTGCTTCACAAAAAATTGCTCGATGCTTCGCACATGAATTTGTGAAGACCTTGACGGTCCACCAACCGCCAATCACATGACATTGGCATGGTCGTCAGTCGTCCATACTTTTTGCAAAAGAAGAAGAAGACAAAAAAAAGAAGGCCTGTGTGCTTCAAGCTTGCCTTGCCAAACTCAAGTTGTGAAATGTAAGCAAGTCTCATGCACCCAAACCCACGTTGTCGCCCGAACCCACGTTGGAACGTGCCGTGCCCCAAACGACCAACGCAACGAACACACAGCACGTCCTCCAAGCACGAGAGCTTTGACTGCTGCTCTGCAACGGTCGCCTGTGCCTGAAAACGGTCCAACGCACCGGTCGAGTGCACGAGGCCGATATCGGTCGAAATCGAGAGGGAAACGATGCCAAGGGGACAAGGGGGGGTTTTGTTGATGCCCCAGTTTGGTTGTAAGCCGCTACCTTCCCTTCAAAGACCACTACTATCAACAAAGACATCAAGCCTCAGTGCCATAGTTCTGCTTGTGACACTTGCAGCTTGCATTGAAGAGTTCCAAAGGATCCGTCTGAGACGAAAAGAGAGCTGCTGAGACAGTAACGGTTGGCAGAGTTGCGTGACAGGGTGGCTTGCGGAATTGAAAAAGGAAAACCTGAGACGCATAATCCAAGGGACTTACATCTCTCCCAAGGGTTTGATGTCATTGTCCATATCTACAGAACAACACGAGATGCGTTGGACAAGACTCATGAATCACTCGGGCACCAGCGAGACTAGAAGCGCAAGATGCTCTTCGCTCAGCTTTGTTCTGTGCTTGTGAAAATTGTCTGATTTCATCCGAGCAATGAAGCCAGGCCTCGCTTTTCCTCTCTTCCTCCTTCTCTAAAGCCGCTTGAAGCTGTTGGCAATCTGCCTCGCAGGGTGTGCCAAATAAGCCCGGAGAGAGTCGCTGGTCCTCAAAAGAAGGCGCCCCTGGTGTTTCATGGCTCATGATGGCAGACCGGAAGCTCTTCTCAGAATCGCTGCCCGCCGCAGGGCTCGGGAGAACTGAAAGCAGGGAACGGCACCCAAGGGGGGGCGGGCAGCAGTGACCAGGCTGCCCCCACTTGACATGTAGAAAGTCTCATTGCTGCTGCCACTCCCAAGGGCGGGCTGGGTTTCAAGCTGCCACTCAATGCTTAATCAAACTGTAAACCTGAACAAGATGTTCAAACAAACCTTCCAAAAATATGCACAAGGGAATCACAACCCTGCTAGCTTCAGGCATATACTTGCCTCTCGAGGAACTCTGGCAAATTTGGAGTGGTGTAGGATTCTTCCATCAGCAACTGCTACAAAGGTCTCCACCAATGAGAAAATGAACTGAGGCCCTCAGGATTGGGGAATGGCCGTCGAGCCTTGAAACCATCTCGCTCTGCCACTGCCTCGTTCCAGGCCTTCAGACAGGCCAGTGAGCAAAGAAGGTCTCCTAACAGCATCTATACCCCGTGGGTCGGTGTTGGCCAAGCAAACCATCAAGCAGAGGTTTAGAAGCGACACTGCCCCAGGTCAAAGGAACCCATACCAGGACTGGTTATAATGGATCAAGAGTAGATGGCACTGGCCCCCCCAAGATGTCTTTTATATAGGGTCCAGATAAACCACCGAGCTTGGGGATTGTGCCATCTACGTCCATCTACTCTGAAACCTTTGTAGATGTTAGACCAGTTTTCTTCTGGGATCCTTAGGGTTCCTCCTTTTCGTCCAGCTACTAACACCCGAGCTGCCCTCATCTGAGCGGTTTGGAGGAAGCTCTCAATCCTTTGCGCACCTGAAACAGGTAGAGTTCCCACTTGGAACTAGATCCAAGCTCCGAAACCCCACCATTTGCTCCCTGAGATCAATTGAAATCATGTCTCTTCCACCAAAGCACACATCCCCACCATCCCCACCTTTCGCGGCCCTTGCCCACTTCCACTCACCCTCCTGACGCCCCCCCGGACCCAAGGTGGGAAGCCTTGTCACCTGCCCTCCGCCCGAGGGTCCGCCTGGCCCAGCGTTTGGAGCTTGGCCGTCAACTCCTCGTTCTCCCGGATCGTCCTCGGCGCGCCGCTCGCGCTGGAGATCCGGTGGGGTCCGCAGCTCGCAGCTCGCGGCGTCGGAGAACGGCGTGGCGACGCGAGCGGGTCCCAGGTGCGCTGTTTCAAGAGGGGGTCGGTTGGATATATCGGTTATTCGACGTGTCAACAGCACGGCTTCTGTCTGGAGAAGTCATCACACCAGGACTTGCATGACAGAGCATGGCATAGATCATGATCTTGCAAAGGAACCTTTGGGAGATTCATGCCATGATGTGCAGAAAAATGTTTGACACAGCCTCAGTGCTGCTTGTCAGCAGTTGGAAAGGTGGTCAACAAGAGATCAGGCCCTGAGGCAGGTGCTGTGCGAAGCTGTGACTTGTGGGAATGCGGCCAGCTGCTGGGAATGCTGACCCAGCATGGCCCGACTAAGGAAAACTTTGGGTGGGATTTCTGACTTGGCGATCTTAATGTTGCCTGAGCTCTGCCAGAGCTTGGTCACAGTCTCACTTGCCCTGTCAGAGCTCACGCTCTCCTGCTCAATCTGCACGCTGACCTGCCCAAAAGAATCATTGCCAACGTCTCACAAGAAAACTTGACCAAACCGTTCAAAGCTAGTCCCAATCACTTTGCCCTTATTGGCATGGTTGCAGAGTGCACAAAATGCTACAACCCGCATGCCAAAAATATCCCTTGCCAGCCCAGCTTTGACGTTTAAGAACCTCTTGTGTTCAACAGCAGACTGCATGGGCGAAGCTCAAGACATGAAACCCCCCCACACTTAGCAACAAGGTCAACGAATCGCAGCTTCCACCCACGCGGCCCCAAAGACTCCTCGGGTTTGGTCACGTTTTGACGCACCACTCTCACCACAACCTTCCGGAGGGTGAAGTGACCCACCGCCACCGGCCTTCACTGACCTTCACTGACCCCCCCCATCGCCACCTCTTCGCCCCCCATCACCACCTCCTGCCGGGCCGACGCGTTCGGGCGCCTCCGAGCGGAGGGACTGTCGCGGGGAAGGCAGGGAGGCTTTGGACTTGCAAAGGGAGAGGAGCTGCCGCCGCAGCTCCATGCCTCGGCACCGGCTCGGTCCGCGGTACTGGTTCGCTGGTTCGGTGGTTCGGTGGTTCGGATGGAGAACGGGGGCAATCGCAGTTCAAAACGAAACAACCACGCCAAAGCCACTGGTGACCACTGGAGAGTATCCGGACGTCGCACAATTCGCTGCAAGCACTGCAAGCAGAGTCATGCGAGTTTTACTCTTCCTTGCAGAATCTCACCGTCAAGCATGTTTCTCACCCGCGCGTCCACTTTTCAAGCAAAGCTGCATTCATGATGCCTCTCATTCACCTGGGCAAGCGGACGCGTCCCGGATGCGAGGCTAGCGAGGAGCGTCCTAGCAGTTATTTTTTGCACAGGACCCAGGGATCATCCCTGGTAGTTGAAAAATGTGAGGGTAGTGTTCCTGCCGTAAGCTTCGTTTGGTCTCCCCATTGTCTCCTCTTTCTTGTCGTTGTCTGAACCCAAAACCTTTTGATTCCTTGACTCCGAAACAGACTCCTCCGCACGGGCCGCAGCGGGCCCCCCGTTTCCACCTCCTTCCGGAGCTCCTCCACTTCGTTGATTCGGGTCCGTTCCTCGAGCGCCAGGGCAATGTTGTCATCAAGGGCCAGAGGCCTCACGCTCCGCCACGCAAACGGACCCAGGGACTGCACGGCACGCGCGCGCGCGCGCGCGCCGCGTTTGGGAGCAGACGTGGGTTCCAGGCGAGTTTCGGATCATCTGGTTGTGCCGTCTCGGCCCCCGGACCCCACATAGAATTCCATGGCTTGCCTCAGAAACGAGGCGTCCGGTGAACCACGAGGCGGACATGGGCCACACCCCTTCAGATCGCTTCATTTCCCGAGTGTGTACTGTATATATTTTTGTGTATAGTGTATAATATTGTTGCACCCTTTTGTCGTGGCCAAAACACATCCTTTGGTCAATCATTGGTCCACGAAATGGAAGAATCTGGAGAAGCACCCAAAAGAGGGACACAGCCTTTGAAGAGGAGCCACTTAGTAACCTTGTTCGCCAGGAGACGAGAACGAGGTCTTATCCTCCTTGCTACCACTCAAGCCCAGGCCAGGTATTCCTCGGCATTGGGAAAGCAAAACCATGGAGGACCAATCCCTTTCAACTCCAAAGGCTTCCACGGCTTCAACTCAACCTGATAGCAGCTGAGACTCGCTTGTTGTCACAAATGCTCTTACCAAGCGTCAGCATGGCATCCTGCAACTCCTCCACGCGGAACCTCAGATCTGAAGGCCCCAGGGGAGCTCGAGCGGTAGACCTAGGACCTACCTGGACCTTGCGGTAGAGCAACTCCATCAGGGTCAAGAGACATAAGAACGAGCGGTTCTCGATTGACACGAAAAGCATAGCAAAAAAGAACTGCTCTCGTTGCTTCAGAAATTTGGCTGCTTTGCTGCTGTCGTCTACCGCTGGAAGTGCTGAGGACAATCCAGCAGCCGATGCTTGAGGGTTCGCAAACCAAAACCTGTGATCTGCTTGCTTTATGACCACAATCTCACTCCCATCTTGGCTGAGTAGATCAAATCTGGAAATGGAAAGGCCACGTACGACCACACACTTCGTACCGACCACCGTTAGCCTGCGTGTTCCACCCGAAGTTGGCCACGGTGCTCAGAGTTCAAGATCTTGTTGAGGGAGTCGGCGCCAAAAATCTGCAGCTCCTTGTCATGTGCGTCAAGGCAGAAAGGCAGTCGGCCTCACCACCAATGGACGCCTGCGTGCAACGTTGCTGATGGAAGACATCTCTTAACTTGAAAAAGGTGTTGCCCATGCTCCCGGGCGGTCTCCTCCATGTCTCTGTCCTTCTGCCTCTTGAGCTTTTCATAACCTGCAGCTTGCTTCATTGGGCAAAAAGGCCTTCGGCCCTTCAAATACCTGCTCACCTGTAGCAAGGGATGTTCATGCCACACCTTCAGCGCGCGAGATCCAAAAGAAGAAGTCCCAAGGTCTTCTCCCTGAGAATTCTTTCATGATCTTTGGGTATGCTTTGGCTACACCGGGCGCATCATCATCGTTCCCGCTTTGACAACCTGGTAACCTGGAACCTCCACCGGGCGCGCGCGCGCCGCGGCCTCGCCACGCATTCCGCCAGGACGCTTGAACCCGCGTTTGACACCACACCGTTACAGTCCTCGAGCCAGTCGAAGAACCTGTGAGCAGTTGATGTGCTCAGGATGGGTTGTCCAAGCCCAAGCTGGTTGTCTTCTCCATGTCCTTCTCCGAAAGGAAAAGAACAAGAAAAGGACTTCAAGAACTTAAAGGTACCTTGTTGCGTCTCAAAAGAAAGAGCCTGAGCATCCAAAATAGCTCCAAAATGGTTGGGTGAGTTGTGTCCAGTCAACAAAAAAGTTGCCTGGTCAGTTGGTTAACGAAGATCCTCCATGTTGGATCAAGTCATTTTGTTCTCCCATGGCCACATCTACTGCTGCAGGGTGAGATCCATATCCCAAACGTAAAATGGCGCCGTCTGAATCCTTTGGCCCATTCAAAAGCCAACAACATACGTAACAAACGTGGTAGCTCAACTACTGGCACCTGAAAGCAAACGAAAAAAGTAGAAAAAGATAGTAAAAGAATGTAAAAGGACCTGCCCATGATCTGCCCCCATTTCTCAGCCCAATTTCACTGCTTCTCTGGAGTTCTGAGCCGGTTTTGGGGGAGGATCCTGGCCCCCCGGCCTCTCGCAAATGGCGCCCGCCCGGCTCCCTCGGAAGAGCTTGCGTCCGATCTCTCGCCAGGAACGAAGAGTGTGCCCCACCCGGTCCTGAGGTCTCGAATCAGGAGAGGACGCGGTCGAAGCGGTCGAAGCGGTGCGGTCGCGGTCACGGTCCGCGGTCTCGGAGAAGCGAGGATCGCTTCTCCGGCCACTCTCCAGAAAGGAGAGACCGATCGGTCTCCAAATTGGTTGTTGGGTGTTGATTCTCGGTTTCGAACTTGGAGAAAGAAATGATCCAAAGATCCCAAAGAGCAAAAAGCTGTTTGAGCTACAGAAGCTCAATTCATGTCGGGAGAGTTTGACCACAAATGCTTCTGGTCAACCAACCAAGTGTCCTCACTCAGGTGTTCATCAGTCACCGGTAGCATCCAATAAAGGCTAACCCAACACTAGAGGGTGCATTTGTTCTCGAGCTTTTATCACAAGCAATTGAAGCATGCTTGCATGAAGTGGTGAGGTGGTGAGTGACAGTAATGGGACTTCCTTTCATTTCAATTGCGTGCCCTCCAAGCTTTTACTATACTATATAACGCGCACACGTTCTTTGAACTGTCCATTAACCTACAGTAATTCCTCAACATGAGGTCCTCATATGTCCTCATCCTACTTCTAGAGAACACTTACATAGCAGAACCAAAGCAACTTCCTGACATTCCTCGGATTCCTCGTGCTTTTCCTGCAAATAAACCCCGAAATTCCTGAACCAACACTCAACAAAGGAAAGCACACCAAACGAAAGCAAACCATGAAGACCTGAAGGACCCCCCAGAATGGACATCTCGCCACAGCTCCGCGCCGCCCAGCTATTGCTCTCGTCCGCCCCCCATCGTCGTCTTCGTTCGCCCATCCGCCGAAGCGCCAGGGCCACGAGCTCGGCCCCAATGCTGCCGCGCTTGGCTTCCAAACACAAGGCCTGCAAGCTGCCTGGCAGGAGATCGGGAGATTCGCTCCAGTCCGGAAAAAGCTCTGGATGGTTTGGGGGGAATTCAACGGTTTCTAAGGACTTCATTGGACGTTCTAGGGCGCTTTCATTGGAAAAATGTGTGGCTTTTTTGGAACTAGACTAGACCAAAAATCATGCGATCTGCAGCGTACGGCAATTATAAATGCATGTTGATTGCAACATAATGCAAAATATGGTTTCTAATGTCATACTTAGTGACTATACACAAGACAAGACTCGGTGTGAAGAATCCGGTCAAACCGTTTGTCACTCAACGGCTCAACAGTTTCAGCCGCGAGGCCAGCCCAGTTGTCATAGGCGATCTTGCCCTTCCTCAGCACGATCCCAACCGATCCCAAAGCGGCCTCCGCCTCCCACCGGGCCGCGAACCGATCGGCCATGCTCTGTGAACCGGGAACCGATCGGCCAGGTCTCACTTGGACGTGCGTCTCGAAGATCTGAGCGATCATGGAACTCAGGAGCTGCTCCTGCTGAGTTCGGTCGGCCGCACGGACTGGGGAGTAGAGTCCTGCGGAGAACCCTGGGAGAACGGATCACCAAACCCAGCCAAGTTCCGATGGGTTTTGGCTGCGATTGAAGGCATGGACTGGTCACTCAACTGCAGCTTTGAAGAACGTGCCACAAATCACAAATGTCCAGGAAGTGCCCTAACTGGCGGATGTCCTTTTCTTTTCGTCCGTTGCAGTAAGCAAAAACCCCGTTTGACACAATGGCGCCCATTGGGTGTCACATGATGTGCTCTCTTTTGAAGAGGTGTCCACTTTCAGCGGCCTCTTTTTCGTTGAGATTCCGCAGCTGGATCCCATCCGGCACAAAAACGCAGGTGCCATGTGCCCAAGTTCGGCCTCGCAGCGTGTTGACGGAGCGCGCCGTGTTTGTGTCCATCGTCGTCAGGTGGTCGCGCTGTCCCTCTCTGATTCAATGGGCTCCACCTCGACCATTTCCGCCGCCACACCAACAACAACAATTCCTATTATTATTCACTTCTTCTTATTAATATTATGTTTCTTCTTATTATTATTATTCTTCTTCCTCCTCTCCTTCCTTCTTCTTCTTTCTTCTTCTTCTGCTTTTTCTTCTTCTTTGTCTTCCTCTTCTTCCTTATTATTCTTCTTCTTCTTCTTCTTCCTCTTCTTCCTTGTTCTTCTTCTTCTTCCTTATTCTTCTTATTCTTCTTCCTTCTTCTTCTTCTTCCTCTTCTTCCTTC